AAATTTAAAAAGTTTTAAAAAGTCCTTAAAAATCTCAATTGAATACACCCTCCTTAGATTTCTGTACTCCTTTCTCACACGCAACAATCACTCACATCGATTGAGAAGCAATTTCTCTATGTCGGTGTGTCTTAATTTTTACCTACCCAGCTAGCTACCCCATCAAGCTTCTTCAATCGTCTCCAGAAATTTATCCAACGCTTTTTCTCCCATCAAACCCTACCCATCATCCACCTACGTCGGTTGACAAATTGAAACGATTCATTTCACAAAATACAATAGCTCGCTGCAAGACTGGAGAGCCGCGATTGGGTTCAGCCTTGCACTCTAACTCTTAGTTGCGAGTCGTCAAGAGCAAGAAGAGTTTCGGGCGGTGGAGATGTAAAAAAGAAATTAGGTGTTGGAGCTCGCGCAGAAATCTACAACGCAGGTGGCAGCTGACAGATATCAACGGTGACACCTGAGGAATGACGGAAACCTTTGCAAGGGGAGTAGTTTTGTTCACCAGATCTCTACCTCTTTACAAACGTCAAAGAATCTGTATTAATGTTTTTTCCCCTGAGGTGAACTATGTATTATTGATATGTTGTATTTTTGCTTAAACTCTCACTCACTCGAAGAGAAAGCAAATATTTTTCTATAAAGTAAATCTGAGATGCTTAACAATATCATGTTAATCAATTTATGTAATTCTATATGGGAGATTTGTTCACTGTTTTGTTTTCATTTTTCAAATGCAGATCGATAGTTAACAAATAACCATTATATGTTTAGGTTCTTTGCACCTGCGCAATTCTGAAGTAATAGTATGGAGTAATGTCATAATCATGTATTCTCTGTTATAATGTAGTTGTTTTAGTAATGATTGCACTTTTGTTGTAGCGAATATGTCGTCGGAGGCTGGCCTGCCCGTGGAAATGGCCGAAGCATTCGACACACCGCATGTTGTTTCTGCGTGTGAACGGGATAGATTGACTGCTCTACAGAGATAGAGGGGTAAAAAAAAAAAACAAATTTGAGGGATGAAGCAGACGCTTCTTCTACCGTGCGCCATACAAGTACACGCACAGGTGCGTTAGAGATTTTCTTTGTGTCTTGCTGCGTTCAACAATTTGATTATTATTTCTAATTTATATCGGGGTTAGATTCCTTTGTGTCTGTGTAAAATTGTGTTGGTCTCTTTGGTCTGGGTGCAGAAGCAGTGTATGCACCAGGTGCAGCTTGTGTTAGTGCACCGACTATGCCTTCTGGTGCAGTTGAACTGGTAGAGCAACTTAAAGTCCCTACCTTATCGTATGTTGTTGCCGCGCAGAAGTGCCATAGGGAGGCTGCTTTGCTCAGGTGTCGTGAAGGTGTCCTCTTCTCGCTGCAATACATTGTCCACGTCCAGAGTGATGGCGCAGCTGTCGACCATGATCCAACAGTCGGTCATGTATCTCTCACGCGGTCGAATGCAGTGGGAACAATGTGGACTCTGAGGAAGCAACAACAAGCCGCCGTGTTTCGCGACCACACGC